ACCAGACCTTGAGAATATGCTGATCTGGAATGGCTCTGTGTCTCATTTGATCCATCCAATAGAAATGATTCTGTATTTCGCCTCATTTGAAAGACTCTGTGTTTCACCTCATTTGAATAACTCTGTACTGCGCCTCATTTGAATAACCCTGTATAGCGCCTCATTTACATTGACCAATGGGAATAGCTCTGTACAATGCCTCATTAGAATTATCCAATAGAATCCCTGCTCCTAGCTTTCGCCTTTTTCCCTATATAAGGACCCCTTTCCCTTGGCTCGGCACGCTCGGCCTCACAGAAGCTAAGTCTCCCAGGTACCCGTATCTCCAATAAAGCCTCTTGCGGGTTTGCATCCAAGTTCGTGGTCTCGCTGATTCCTGGGTGCGGGTCTCCCTCTATGAAAGTACCTCTTCGGGGGTCTTTCATGAGAACACCCATGTTCCCCTGATGAACAGGTTAGGTTCTGTCCCACAACCTGGAAGCTCTCTGACTCAGGCCACACTGAAGGTTGGCAGGTAACATGAAGACAGTGGGTGGGAGGGTCTTGTAGAGAGATGAACAACACAGGGTATGGCTCAGAGAAGGTGGTCACTTTCCCCTGCCAGTGGACATGACAGGCATGACATGACATGATGTTGCGAGCTGTATGGCTTAGTTTTGGATCAGCATATGAACACTTGTCCAACCAGTCTCCACAAGGCAAGACGCATGGAGATGGTCTCTCGCTTGGCAGAGGTCAGTGGACCCCAGGACAGGGTAGAATCCTGCTGGGACAATGCGGCCTGCACGTTCTCTTCTCTCTTATAATATTGATGATTGTCAGTCACATTCTCAGAGACCAGATTCTTTTCTCCAATATTTTCCCCTGAAATTCTTTGGGAGCTCCAGGCATGCAAGAACCTTTCATAGGACAAGCTAACTGTATGCAAGCAGTTTATGGTGAATAACCCATATTTCTGTAAAATGCTTTGTTAATTGAATGGTATTGTTGTTCTTGAGAATATGTGCCTATGCCCATCACCTTTTAGCTTTGTAAGGGCAGGCTGTGCCTGACTCCATGTTTAGCTACCAAATACTGAGTGTTAGTTTTGGTTTAAAAGTTGCGTTGATGTAAAAGTTGGGGGGAAAACATATTTCATGTATTTGTTTTTGTTTTAAGTTAACACTAGAGGATGGGGAAAACATGCTTGTTTTTGAAGTGTAAATAAAGACTGCTCCAGCTGTTCAGGGTGGGTCA